GAGGAGATGAGAGGCATCCAAGACATAGTACCTACTTTACAGGTTTGCAAGGCCTGCTTGTGGGAGGACACATGCGTGTACACACATACACACACATACCTGCATGCACACATGCACACATACAGTGCTCTTTATAGAGAGCAATTGGTCCAAAAACCTAAGTTATGTTCAGATTCACCTGGGATGCTTCCAAAAATGCAGGTACACAGGTCCTGCCCCATTCATACTGAATCAAAGTTTCTAGGGCTGGAGCCGAGCCCAAGACATTGGACATGGTAGGGGAGCATCCAGGTGCTGTTGCTGATCGGTCAGGTTTAGAAACCACTGCTGTAGAGGACAGAGCCCCAGGAGAGGAAACGGAACACCTGAATTTGGGTTGCAGCATCACCATTTATTGAATAACCCTGGGCACTGCACTCTCTAAACCCCGGGGGAAACATGTGTGTGAGACTTAGGTGCCCTGATCTGTCTGAGGCAAGTGTTACGGAAATGCCCGTTGAAAGCCATCAGACAATGCAAATGCTGTTATCACATACGCACACGTGGTATGTGGCTTGCGTGGGTACGTGTCACGTATATCCATGTACCTGGATTTCCTATAGAGAGGGCAGGACTGATCTTCATTGCCCTCCTTCACCTAAGCTCGTGGCTGTCTTCACATCTGAATAGAGTTTCTCTCTTCAGGACTTGCCCCCTGCTCTCCTCTCCCAATAGCATGGCACAGTCCCTGATTGTTTTTTTTTTTTAATTTCTATCTAATAGGTTTATCTATCATCTACGATCCCTCCTGGAGAGTAAGAAGGAAGAGAAGTAGTCACTCCTGCTTTACAACAAGGGGAAACCCAGGCAGGGGGCCGTTAGAGGGCTTTATACCATTTAAACATAGAGCAGGGATACTTTCCTTTTGAAAACCTGGTGAATACGTACACACACAAAATTTCCCATACAGTTTCAGGGTTTCATGGACTTTCTGGCGCCTCTCCTAGGAGTCCAGTAACCCCAGGCAAAGAACATCTGCCCCACCTGGATCTGCCCTCTGAGCTTCCAGAGGGTCACGTTCAAGCACATGAGGCTTCCTTTCAGCTGCATCTTTGCTGAATGACTAACACATTACCCCCTCGCCCCGAGCTGCAAGATTAACTTGCCTGACCTTCCCTCCCTCCCCAAGAAAGAGGGTCAAAACCCAGTGACGCAGTGACACATCACTGTGTCAGGACAGGATCTCACACCAGACTGTGCCTCTCCATTCCTGAGCCTGCAGTACAAAGTCTGAGCTGCCGTTAGGTATCAGGAGGATGGATGACCTTTATCGCAATAACAGAAGACAGCTCAAACTGACTTAAACAATAAAAGGAATCTACCGGTCCGTGACAGTAAAAAAAAGTTTGAGGTGGCTGGGCTTTATGCAAAGTCTGATTCATTTGCTCTATCTTGTCTCCTTTGGTCTCTCCACCCTCCTCCACAGTGTCAACTTCATCCTAAGACTCACAGCCTTCAAGGTTGCAATATGGTCGCCAGCAGCCACCAAAGCTCTATGCACCTTCATTCATTCTCGGGAGAGAGAGCAAGCTGCTTTTTTGATAGTTTCCATGAATGAAAGTGGAAGCTTCTTTCCAGAACCCCTCAGTCAATGTGTCCCCACATCTCATTAGCCCACGTTGGGAAACATCCCATCCTGATCAGAGCCTCTGTCCTTGGAGTGCTGCCTGGCTGGGAAATTCAGAACATGGTACAGATGGCTTGCCTCAGTGCTCAGACCTCCAAGCCCTTGGGCTTAGCCTCCTCTGTCATTTAAACTGCTTTCAAGAAAGGAATGAAGGACTCAAAAGAAATGATTTTATAGAAGCTCAGGCTCTGGTTTTGTCCCATACAGACCCTGGGCAAAAGCCTGGGCCTTCTCAGGCAGGAAAGAGGAGATGGATTTTCACTTTCTAGAAAGGGAAGGCAACGGAACCTGCAGCCAGTCAGCTGAGTGGAATGAGGGCCACACAGGGAGTCAGGGAGCTGGGGTTATGCCTCTTTCCTCCTTAGAAAGCTTGGACGATCATGAACGACGTGTTTATCCTCTCTGGGCTCTCTATAAAAAGAGTGAAATGGTCATCCCTTCACTTTTCCAGTGATCCTGTGTAAGGTACGACAGCTTGGAATGAAGCTGAGTCCTCAGAAGTTCCCAGGATTCTGTGCTACATCACAGAGGATCGAGAATGTGGTATGTGGAGTGGTTTTGGGCCAGTCCTCTATTGCCAGAACCATCCAGAAGGTCTGTTCGTGTAACTCCAAAACTTCAGGTCCCATGTGGCTCTGGCACTGTTTGGAGCTCATATAAAGAAACATGGCTCAGCAACTGAAAGTGATTTTTTTTAAAAAAAATCCAATTATTTATTTAAATCTTTTGAAGAGATATAAACACTTTGCAAAGTTTTTCTAAAGCCCCCTTTTCTCCTCCCTAATTCTCTCACATCCCTAGCTACTCAAGAGCATTTTGTATGTCAAAAGCTCCCATGCTCTCTCCAGCACCCAAATGTCTCCCCTCTTTTGGAGCTCTTTATTATTTTGTTTTAATTGATTTTTATTTTTTTATTTTTGGCTGCGTTGGGTCTTCATTGCTGTGGGCTGGCTTTCTCTGGTTGCGGCTGGAGTGGGGGCTACGCTTCGTTGCAGTGCACCGGCTTCTCATTGCGGTGGCTTCTCTTGTTGCGGAGCACGGGCTCTAGGCGCACGGGCTTCAGTAGTTGTGACTCACGGGCTCTAGAGCGCAGGCTCAGTACTTGTGGTGCACGGGCTTAGTTGCTCCGTGGCATGTGGGATCTTCCTGGACCAGGGCTCGAACCTGTGTCCCCGGCACTGGCAGGTGGATTCTTAAACACTGCACCACCAGGGAAGTCCCTGGAGCTTTTTATTATGGAGGGTGATTTAATCTCTTGTGTTAGGTCCTGTTCCATTTCCTCTGGGCTCTCTTCCCACTCATTCTCGCAGTTCTACATCCCAAAAGATCTTTATCAAAGTTGAGCCAGAACTCTTCTTAGAGTACTCACACACTTCAATAAACCTTGTCCCTGTCACATAAGCATCATTGGGGAAACAGACTTCCAGTCTCATATACATATAAATTATTCTAGTGCTATGTATTCCAGGGAAAGAGCCCATAGGGTTTATTAGGATTTATATATATATATATATATATATGAGATTTATTGTAGGAATTGGCTCACATGGTTATGGAGGCCAAGAATTTGCATGATCTGCCGTCTGCAAGCTCAAAAACCAGGAAGGCTAGATGCTGGTATAATTCAGTCCAAGTCCAAAGGCCAGAGAATCCAGGGAGCCACTGGTATAAGTCCTGGAGTCCGAAGACCCAAGAGCCAGGAATTCCTACGTCTGAGGGCAGGAGAAGATGGACGTCCCAGCTCAAGAAGAGAGGGGGGAATTTAACTTTCCTCCACCTTTTTGCTTTATTCGGGCCCTCCTTGGGCTGGATGATGCCCACCCACACTGATGAGGGCAAATCTTCTTTACTCAGTCTACTGATTCTAAATACTAATCTCTTCCAGAAACATCCTCACAGACACACCCAGAAATAATGTTTTACTGGCTATCTGGGCATCCCTTAGCCCAGTCAAGTTGACACATAAAATCAACATCACATACCCCATCTGGAAGTAGAACATCAGCTTTAGTGGTTTTGGCTGTTGGGGATGGGGGGGGGCTGTCTTGAACCGTCCACCTGGAGAACATTGCCTTCTCATACTTTCTACTCCTGTGGTTGTTACTCGGAACAAGTCCGCAGGATATTCTCCACTGGCTCCTCCAGCTCCACCCTCCAGCCTTCTCGACCCTGCTCTGAGATCCAGGAGGCCGACCTGTGTGGTCTATACCTAGAGGCTCCCTCGCTGTCTGGCTCCTGGCTGGGTTTGGCCAATGGGAGGCATTGACAAGAGATGGGAAGCAGGAGGTTGGGATGTTTATTCTGCCAGATCCCCCGCTGCTGGGCTGATGGTTGGCTCTGACTCCCATCCCAGGCCCTCTCCTAGCTGCAGCTGCCCCTGGGCTCTGGTCACTACTCCCACATTCCCCTTCAGCCTGGAGGCAGTAGCGAGTCCCTGTAGCTGTTGGTCCCTGGGACTCGTTACCACCTTCCCTAGCATCCTCACCCTTGTCGCTTGTCTGAACCCTGTAAACAGCTCCTTCATCCAGCTATCCTCACTGCCTGGAGTGACAGGATGTGGACTGATTCAGTGCCCCTGACTTTCACAGACTTGTTACCTCCTGGAGTCTCACCTTATCGTTGTGAAGTGGAGAGGGGGGAGGAAGTATTACATTCTTATTTATGGAGGTTCTGACATGTAAAACTTTCAACAATAATTCAGCCAAATGTCAAGGTCTAACTTGCATCTTTGGTCTGGAATATCTACCATTTTTGGCCAAGTTAAGGATTTAGTCAGTGGCTGAAGAACAGTGTCTCTCTGAAAAGCTCAGTGGAAAACGAATCCACAGCTTGTCACTATCGTGATCTAACTATGGGACTACCCTAACCAGACAGGAACCACTAAAATTCAGGTGGAACTTTGCTGCACTCCCCAGCCAGTTTACCTTATCCTGACCACAACAAGACCAAAAAAGATAGAAGAATGCCAAGTACATAGAAAGACTGAGTCAGGGATCAACATGATCTGAGCTACTCTGAAAAAGCCTCTCACTCCAAAAAATCCACACGCATCCCCCATTTCCATCCCAGGCCTGATTAGGATGAAACCATGTCTGCCCGTATCTGAAATTTCATCAGTAAAGAGGTATAACTCCGCCTTTAGGCCAAACGTAGATATTGCCCTGGACTGGCCGCAAGGGGGAGGGGCACGTACTTGGCGCAAGGAGGTCGTAGAGCGTTCCCGCCATTGGCGGCGGTTAGGGCGTTTACGCAACGTCCTGACGTAGGGGAGGAGGCGTTAGTCGGGGGAAGGTTCTAGAAAAGCGGCGGCAGCGGCTCTAGCGGCAGCAGCAGCAGCAGCGCCGGGTCCAGAGTGGAGGTGCTCCTAGCAGTGTCGTTCCTCGACCAGCAGCAGTTCTCACTACAGCGCCAGGACGAGTCCGGTTCGTGTGCGTCCGCGGAGATCTCTCTCATCTCGCTCGGCTGCGGGAAATCGGGCTGAAGCGACTGAGTCCGCGATGGAGAGAGAAGAGGAACAATTCCGTAAACTCTTTATTGGTAGCTTGAGCTTTGAAACTACAGAAGAAAGTTTGAGGAACTACTACAAGCAGTGGGGAAAACTTACAGATTGTGTGGTAATGAGGGATCCTGCAAGCAAAAGATCAAGAGGATTTGGTTTTGTAACTTTTTCATCCATGGCTGAGGTTGATGCCGCCATGGCTGCAAGACCTCATTCAATTGATGGGAAAGTGGTTGAGCCAAAACGTGCTGTTGCAAGAGAGGAATCTGGAAAGCCAGGGGCTCATGTCACTGTGAAGAAGCTGTTTGTATGTGGAATTAAAGAAGATACTGAGGAACATCATCTTAGAGATTACTTTGAGGAATATGGAAAAATTTATACCATTGAGATAATTACCGATAGGCAGTCTGGAAAGAAAAGAGGCTTTGGATTTGTTACTTTTGATGACCATGATCCTGTGGATAAGCTTGTGTTGCAGAAATACCATCCTATCAATGGTCATAATGCAAAAGTAAAGAAGGCTTTATCTAGACAAGAAATGCAGGAAATCCAAAGTTCTAGAAGTGGAAGAGGAGGCAACTTTGGTTTTGGAGATTCTCGTGGTGGTGGTGGAAATTTTGGACCAGGACCAGGAAGTAACGTCAGAGGAGGATCTGATGGATATGGAAGTGGTCGTGGATTTGGGGTTGACTATAATGGGTATGGAGGAGGACCTGGAGGTGGCAATTTTGGAGGTAGCCCTGGTTATGGAGGAGGAAGAGGAGGATATGGTGGTGGAGGACCTGCATATGGCAACCAGGGTGGGGGCTGCAGAGGTGGTTATGACAAGTATGGAGGAGGAAATTATGGAAGTAGAAATTATAATGATTTTGGAAATTATAACCAGCAACCTTCTAACTATGGTCCAATGAAGAGTGGAAACTTTGGTGGTAGCAGAAACATGGGAGGACCATATGGTGGAGGAAACTATGGTCCAGGAGGTGGTGGAGGAAGTGGGGGGTATAGAGGGAGAAGACGATATTGATCTTCTTCCTATTTACCATGGGCTTCACTGTATAAATAGGAGAGGATGAGAGCCCAGAGGTAACAGAACAGCTTCAGGTTATCGAAATAATAATGTTAAGGAAACTCTTATCTCAGTCATGCATAAATATGCAGTGATATGGCAGAAGACACCAGAGCAGATGCAGAGAGCCATTTTGTGAATGGATTGTTTAATAACATTACCTTACTGTGGAGGAAGGATTGTAAAAAAAAAAAAAAAAAATGCCTTTGAGACAGTTTCTTAGCTTTTTAATTGTTGTCTCTTTCTAGTGGTGTTTGTAAGAGTGTAGAAGCATTCCTTCTTTGATAATGTTAAATTTGTAAGTTTCAGGTGACATGTGAAACCTTTTTTAAGATTTTTCTCAAAGTTTTGAAAAGCTGGTGTAATAAGACATAACGTTTTTCCTTTAAAAAAAATTTAAGTGCGTGTGTAGAGTTAAGAAGCTGTTGTACGTTTATGATTTAATAAAATAATTCTAAAGGAAAAAATATTGCCCTGAAGGGAGACATTGAGTTACATTTGATGAATATTTCCATTATGTGCAAGGCACTGCTGAACACTAGTTAATGCTTTAATCCTACCAGTTACCCTGGAGTAGGAATAAACTGAATATGAGAAGAAAGTGAAACCACAAGGTGGGGAGAAACATGGGAAAAGGGGAGGAAGTTGAAGACACACGTTGCCTTTATTCATCCTGGGCTCAGGGGAGAGGCTCTGGATTAGAGATATAAACAGGGAGTCTGCAGCATTATGGATGGTGCTGAAAGCCATGGGCTAGATAAGACACCCAGGAGGAAGGACTGAGCAGAGAAGAGGACAGGTCAGGAAAGCGAGGAGGGGTGAGGATAGACAAGAACTGAGCCCAGGGACACTCCAATCTTAGAGCTTGTGAAAGGGGGAAAAAGTGAATCCAGGAAAGAACACGGAAAAGGAACAGCTGGTGACGTAGGAGGAAGATCGGAAAACTCAGGTGTTTGGAAGCAGCTGAGAAATTGTTTCATGAAGTGAGTGACCAGACGACTTAAACTGTTGCGGATGGGTCAAATAAGAATGGAGAATTGACCATTGAATCTGTCATCATAGAAGTCCCTTGATAAATGTGGTTTTACTGTCATGATAGGGACACAAGCCTGATTGGAGGGTGTGTGACAGAGAATAGGAGGTGAGGAAATAGAAACAGTCCAGATAATGTTTTTAAATTTTGCTCTGAATGATTAGCAGGCAAATGGTGAAGTAACTGGAGGGGAAAGTAGGGTCTAGGATTCTTTTTTTAAAGATGAGAGTTATATCCCACTTAGTATGCTAATGGATATGGGACACTAGAGAGAGAAAATTTGACAATGCATATGAGACAGCAGATAATCGCTGGAGTGATACCTTTGAATAAGCAGGAAGGGAAGGGATCCAGTGCACAAGGGGGGGGGGGTGGGGGGGGGACCTGGCCTCAGATAGATGCATGGATGGTCCATTCATCATAAGAGGATGGAGGCAGAGTAAAAGGACCTGGATACTGGAGGTTGGTATTTTTGGTGGTGGGATGGTAAGGTTTTGTTTTGTTTTTTTCTGATTTCTTCTATTTTCTCAGTGGGGAAAAAAAATGCTATCATTGGCTGAAAGTGAGAAGCAGGGATAGTTGTGTGAAGGCCTGGGAAGGGAGGAGTGTGATACAGTTATCACAAAAAGTAGGAGAGTGACTTGCCTGGGGAGAGATTGTAGGATCACTGGGCAACAATATGGTCCTCCTGAGGTTAAAGGCCATGATTTTAAAGGGAGACCTTTCAGCACAGTCATGTGTTTTCCTCCAGCCACTTTCGGCAGCTGGAGTACAAGCGCGGGATAGATGAAAGTTAGATTTGACTAGTGTTGGGGCTTTGCTAGGCCCACAGGTTGGGAGGGAAGAAGGTCAAGGTGGTTGTATTAGTTATCAATTGCTGTTAAAAAAATGTTCCCAACACTTAGTGGCTTAAAACATAGACATTTATTATCTCACAGTTTTTGAGAGATAGAACTTAGAATTTGGAAGCAGCATGGCTGGGCAGTTCTGGGGTCTGTCATGAGGATGCAGTCAAAATGTTATCAGGGCGACGGTCATCTGAAAGCTTGACTGGGGCTGGAGACTCTGCTTCCACCATGGCTCACGTACGTGACTGGCAAACCAGAGGTGGTTGTTGGCAAACGGATTCAGTTCCTCTTCATGTGAGCCTCTGCACAGGGTGTTCGTGCGTCCTCACAACATGACATACGACTTCTCACAGAGATAGCAATCCAAGAGGGAGAACTAAGATGAAGCTATCTTTTTCTGACCTAGACTCAGGTCACAATGGATTGCTTGGCCACATTCTATTTGTTAGAAGCAAGTCACCAAGTTCAGCCCATGTTCAAGGGGAGGGGAATTAGACTCCACCTTATGAAGGGAGAAGTGTTGTTATGAACTGAATATTTGTGTCCCCCCAAAATTTATATGTTGAAGCTTTAAACTTCCAGTATAGCTATATTAGGAGATGGGGCCTTGAAGGAAGTTATTAAGGTTATATGAGATCATGAAGATGGGACTGTGATCTGATAGGATTATGTCTTTATAAGAAGAGACACAGCTGCTCAATACTCTATAATAACCTAAATGGGAAAAGAAATTGAAAAAGAGTAGATACACATATACGTATGACTGAATCACTCTTCTGTACACCTGAAACTGACACAACATTGTTAATCAACTATACTCCAGTATAAAATAAAATTTTTTTTAAAAAGAAATATATTTAGAACTAAATTAACAATAAAAAAAAAAGATTTAACATTTTCTTAGTGATTAGATAAAAGAAGACTCAGCTCGCTGCTTCTTCAAGCCAAGAAGAGAGCCCTTACCAGAAACTGAATTGACCAGAACTTTGATCTTAGACTTCTAGCCTCCAAAATAGTGAATAAATTAATTTCTGTTGTTTAAGCCACCCACTCTATGATATTTTGTTATGGCAGCCCAAGAAGACTAACACAAGTGTCAAAGAACTTGCAGACATATTTTAATGTCATTACAAAGGACAACGATATATGCAAGTGAGTTTCTTGTGATGGACCATGAACTCTAAGCTGAGAAGGGAGAGAACTGATGGTCTAGAGGGATGAATGAATGGACTAGAGAATCACTGAATGGAAGAGAGGTCACTGAAGGGGTGGAAGAATCTCGGAGCGGGAAACAAATTGAACAGATACGAGGTAGTGGCCAGAGAGAGCGGCTTGAAATGAAGATTTTTTGGACTTGGCACAGTTGGTGCTGGTGACAAGATCTAGGATAAGATGACAGAAGTAGGTGACTGAGATGGGAGGAGATTAATTAATGGAAAGGTAGATCATCTAATAGGCATTGAAGTGTGCAGGAATGATGCCAAGTGTACGGATGCTAGAGTGACTCACAGAACTCAGGATAACACTGTACTTACACTTATTGAGTAAAGAACACAAATGAACAGCTGGATGAAGAGGTACACAGGGTAGGTCAGGAAGGGTCCTGATACAAGAACCTCTGTCCTGTGGAGTTGGGATGCCTCACACTTCCTGCGTGTGCATGTATTATTCACCAACCCAGAAGCTCTTCGAATCTTGCTGTTCAAGAGTTTTTATCTTGAACAGTCTCGGGACCTCCTCTTTCTCCAGAAATTGGGGGATGGGACTGAAAGTTCCCATCCTCTAAATTTACCTGTTAGGTCTTTCTTGCGGCCAACCTCCATCCTGAAGCTATCTAGGGGCTTCACCCTGAGTCATCTCATTAGCATAAACTCTGGTGTGGTCCAAAAGAGCTCATTATGGCTAACAAAAGACACTACTATCACTCCGGAAATTCCATGAGTTTTAGGAGCTCTGTGCCAGAACCAAGGACAAAGACCAAATATATTTTATTATACCACAGGCTGCCTCATAGTAAGTGCTATGTAAGGTATTAATAATCCCTTGTTATAGATGAAGCCACTGAGGTACAGAGAGGTTAAGTAACTTGCTTATGGTCACACAGCTAGTAAGGACCAGGGTGAGGGACTCAGACTCAGACTCATGTTAAATGAGAGAAAGAGCTGATCTCAGAAGGTCTCAAGTGAACCCCTCCCTGAGGCTCCATTGGTCAGTTTTGCCTGGGTCCCCCACATCTAACAATACCTGCTGCCATTCTTTTCTTCTCCTTCTTGAGACAATATGAGTTGGTTTCTGTTATTTAGAACTGAAAACGTTCTGGGATAGGCTATGTGACCAGTGAAAGCCAAGAGTGGCTGGAAACAATATTTAAAGGGCCAATGGCAAAATTCCTCTTTGGAAGGAATTGTTTGAATCTAAAATATAGGCTTTTAGGCATAATCTGAAAGTAGAGGGCAGAACGAAAGGAGAGTTGAATTGCTTTGCTTAAAAATCAAAAGGAGGGACTTCCCTGGCGTCGCAGTGGTTAAGATTACACGCTCCCCATGCGGGGGGCCCGGGTTCGATCCCTGGTCCGGAAGCTAGATCCCACATGTGTGCTGCAACTAAGGAGCTGGTGAGTCGCAACTGAGGAGCCCGCCTGCCACAACTAAGACCCGAAGCAACCAAATAAATAAATAAATAAATATTAAAATATAAATAAATAAAAATCAAAAAGAATTTGTTTTTTTCATTTGGCCTCCCAAGGAGAAATTTTAGGTTGTCTTCAACCTGACTTTGTTATGAAGCTGTCATGAACAAATAAGTACTCAAACCTTGATCATATCTCTAATTATTTCCTTAAGACCAGATTCTAAGAAATGCAATTACTTGGTCTAAGGGCATGGATATCTTAAAAACATTTTTTAACAAATTGCCCTCCAGAACGAACGAAACAGTTTATATTTCCACCAACAGTGAATGAGTCTTGGCTTCTCAGTGTTTGTGTGTGTGAGTGTGTGTGTGTGTGAGTGTGTGTGTGTGTGAGTGTGTGTGAGTGTGTGGGGTTTTTTTGGCCGCGCTGCACAGCTTGCAGGATCTTAGTTTCCCGACCAGGAATTGAACCCGAGCCCTCCACAGTGAAAGCGCAGAGTCCTAACCACTGGACCGCCAGGGAATTCCCTATATATTTTTAAATCTTTGACAAATAGGTGAAAATTGCTTTAGTTTGTATTTTGATATTACCAGTAATTTCAAACTGTTTAAATGTGTTTATTGGCCATACCTATTTCTTCTTTTAAGAATTGCCTTCCTGCAGGCCTCTGGAAAGATGCTTCCCATCTTTCTGCT